ATTAGTATTCGCGAAAATTCTATTTTAGTTTGCCGTTGATTATTACGATTTTATCATACTCTCCTTTGACTGAAGGTTCTCTCGTACTAAAAACGACTAAATTTACAGAACATTTTATCAATGATGCAAAAACTTTGGCAACCTTCACACAAACAACAATATGGTAAAGAGAGTTCTGCGGTAGGAACTGATGGAAACAATGGAAATTACAGCCCTTCAACTCCTACCAGTCCTACACCCATTCCAGCTTCTGGTCTTCTTGTCATCCGTGTTGTTGAAGCAAGAGGACTCACTTTACCCCCAGGCATAAGACCCCCACAAATTCCTCCACACTTTGTACCATCAGCTCCAACGTCTACGCGGGGTAACAGAGATAGCATGCAGAGAAAACAATGCTGGTGGCTTCCTTATGTAGTTCTAGAATTTGATAAAAATGAAGTACTGATCGATGCCCTAGGTGGTGAAGTGCAACATCCTATCTGGCAATACAAAGCGCATTTGTGAGTGACATAAGGATTTCATTAAATCATTTTTGATCTCCAGACCATTAAAATTTTTTGATTCATATTACCATAGTGATGTTTCGCGAGAATCCGACGTATCAATACAAATATATCTCCGAAAATCCACCCAAACCGGCCAACACACTAATGACATGGGCAACGATGTGTTTTTGGGTGGTGTAAAGATGATACCAAGCTTTAATGAACCAAATGTGAGTAACTTGGCAGAATTCAAGGAATTCGTTTCTTCTAATTTATTACGTATGTAATAATTCTTTCAACGGATTATTAAAGAAATTGCACGAACAATGGTACAAATTGCAAGGTGGTTCAGGCGATGTTTATGTACACGCCTGTTATAAAAAGGATCATGTATGTAGATCACATTTTCTCTGAAAGCTTAAGTTTTATTATTATTATTATTTTATGACGAGAAATGCATTCTGCATATTTAGACAAATGTGCCCTTGACAATTGACGCATTCGATTTATTGAAAGTCATCGGTAAGGGCAGTTTCGGCAAGGTATTTAATTAATTCTTTGATTGGGTGTTATTTTACTAACATTGATTTTAATCTAATTCGAAGAAATTATATCTCGAGATAACGTCTTAGAAAAATATGGGTTGGTTCGCTATTTATATTATTAATTAAACATCTTCATATGTAACTTGTTAGGTCATGCAAGTCCGAAAACGAGATACTTCTCGGATCTACGCGTTAAAAACTATACGCAAAGCCCATATCGTATCTCGATCTGAGGTGAATCATACTCTTGCGGAGCGTACGGTTTTGGCGCAGATAAACAACCCCTTCATTGTACCTTTGAAATTCTCTTTTCAAAGTACAGAGAAATTGTATTTGGTGTTGGCTTTCGTGAATGGTGGTGAATTATTCCATCACTTGCAACGGGAAGGCCGGTTTGACGAAGGGAGGTCTAGATTTTATGCTGCAGAATTGCTTTGCGCATTGGAATGCTTACATGACTTCAACGTGGTTTATCGGTTAGTACCAAGTAACGGAATTGTATAATCTAGTGAAAATAGTCGCATTTGAATAAAAATGTCATTTTTTTCACACTTAGTAATCACAGAACTGATATATCTACATTAAATCTTACCCTTAATATTCCTTGATACATTTTCTCGGACAATATAAGGGATCTAAAACCCGAAAACATTCTTTTAGATTATTCAGGCCATATCGCTCTATGCGATTTTGGTCTTTGTAAACTGAACATGACAGAATCTGAAACTACAAATACCTTTTGCGGGACACCCGAGTATCTCTCTCCAGAACTTTTGTTGGGCCAGGGTTATACCAAAACAATAGATTGGTGGACTTTGGGAGTTTTATTGTTTGAGATGTTAACGGGTCTACCACCTTTTTATGATGAGAATACCAATGAAATGTATCGAAAGATTCTACAGGATGAATTAAGATTTCCTGATGAAGTTAGCAGCGAGGCTCGAAGTTTATTGACGGGGGTGTGTAGTCGAGACTAAATGCGATTCATTGCGTAAACATTATGTTGTGATTCATATTAAAAAAACTAATAGCTATATGTTTGTTTATAGCTATTGACCAGAGATCCTAACCACCGCCTTGGTAATAATGGTGCCCAAGAAATTAAAGAACATCAATTCTTTTCTGCTATAGATTGGAAACAATTGATTCTAAAAAAAGTTCAACCACCTTTCAAGCCCAGTGTTGTATGTAGCGTGATTTCATACATTCTCCACGTAGTTTTATTAGTCACTTGATTGAATCGGCTCACCTTATTCCAGGAATCGGCTATTGATACTTCGAATTTTGATGAAGAATTCACTTCAGAGACTCCTCAAGACTCGGTAGTCAACGATTCACATCTTTCTGAGACCATACAACGACAATTCGACGGGTTTACATTCAATCCCCATGAAGGAGTAATGAGCGGAAGTATGGCAAACTCGGTGGAATAATGCTTGGATCCGTGGATATCAGACTGGTTTTACCCAATCCACTGGATCGTTATATCTGGTTAAAATTATAAATATCCAGTGAAATCCGATGAAATCCGGTAAATCTATCGAAATAAGTTTTTTGCTGAAAATAAATAAAAAAAAATATTTATTTTATTTTATTATTTTTTTTTGCTAAAACATTAAAATATTTAAATAAATTGCTAATTCGAAGTACTTGTCATCAATTACATAACTTTGAATATTGTGTATGAAATTAGTGCATAATTATGCAGAGTTAAATAGCTTAGTAATTTGTTCAAATAAGTTATACAGGTACTTAAAATAGTTTGAGAAATATAAGATTGAATAGTATAATAATTAAATGGTTTTTTTTAAATCAAAAGCGATTATATAAATAAATAAAATTATATAATTATTTTACAAAAACTATATGCAATATATTATATTCTTTTTATAAGATGGTTAAATACTGCATATAAAATTATAGTATTGCATAAATATATAAATTACGACCAGAATTAGGGTTAAAGATCAGCAGATTTGGTTTTTTTTTTTTTTAATATTAAGTGACCACTTTGGGGTCGGGCACGCTTTATTTATCCTTAGGTTCAAATGTTAGCACAACCACAGCCGTACCTGACATTGTTACATCAATGAGAGTACAATTGATTACATGTACAACTTTCTACTATATCTATTCTATCTATAGTTACCCACCAATTGTAAATCTCCTATTTAAACTCTGATCAACTTGGTGTCGTCAGAATATTTTTCTCTAGGCAAACCTGTTGTAATCCCTTAGGACAGTTTTATTCTCGTAGTAAACCTACCAGAATGGTCCATGTTCTACACATGTATTACCAGAATTTTTTAGTAACTTATGTCCTAATTTAAGAATTAGAACTTGTAGTTTTTTAGTTCCACTATTGTTATTTACTTCTTGCTTTTAAATAGTTTACCCAAACCCAGTATCCCCTTTCAAGTTTACCAATATCTTCTTTTTTAGTGTTCTCTAGCCTGTCTTCTCAGATTGCTAATCCAGATAGTTTGAGAAAAATTTTTGTTTATAGACTACTAGTTCTCTGGTATCTGCACTTAAGCAGATATTTTTTTTTCAGTTGATACTCTGGCAGCCTGGTTGGTGAGGTATTTTACCAAATATCTGGTTCTTGTCTAGTTGTACTAGCCTCAAGTATATTTTATTCTAGTAGTACTATTGAAGACTTGTACTATCTCTCTTTTTGGAACTTCCTAAGTAGATATTCATCTTTTCAATTTTTCAATTTTATATAGTTTTTTAGAACTTATTGTAAGTTTGTATTAACTAATACTAGCTTGTATATTTTTGTATAATTTATATATTATACAAATGTCCAATTCTCTTTCTAGATATTTAATTGGCAAATCACAAGTCATCTGAACAAATATTTTTTTTTTATATAAATTTTACTATAAGCCTGAATATGGAGTATGCCTATCTAAAACTTTTTTTTACTAAGTAAATTACTCTTGGGCTTGTA